ATTTACAATATAGCTGAGTAAAACAATATAAAATAAACGCACATAGACACAGAAAAGAAACAAAGAGAAACTTCCATAAAAGTGGCAACAAGAAGTAAAAAGCAATAAAACCACAATTAAAAATGTAAATTAATAAATAAAAGCATTAATGATGAATAAAAACTGTAGACGAAAGGAAATGTAGAACACAAGACTTGTGAAAAAAAAGGATAATATGAAATAAAATAAATAAAAGACGTAAAAATAGTATAAAATAAGACCAACAAAAGATGATAAGATATAATAATATAAACCAATACACCAGTGAAAGTAAATTATCACTGGTCTGCTCTCTACAATGAAATACAATGACATATAGCTTGAAAATTTAATGACAAACGCCATATTAAGTCAAGGACGTGACACATATACTTCGCATAGATGTGAATTTAGAGGGGAACGCAGGGGACGTGCATTTGTCCCCACCCCAATAAAAATATGAAAGTAGCAGAGGACTTTTATTTTCACAAAATTAAAGAAATTAACACCAGAAATTTGAAATCACAAGAACGCAGAAAATTAAGTGTTTGATTCTCAGAGCTTTCTGGCAAAGGGCCCCAAACCCCCTGTTTCATATGTGTGCCCCCCTGATGTTGAAACAAAACCTACGCCCCTGATACTTTGAATTTATCAAGTGAAAATATCACTCTAAACATTTAAAATAAGTATCTCTGTTGTTGATTTTGGACTGATTTTGAGTCCACAATCACTTGGGACTGTTATAAAACTCTACTATATATTTTCACAAAACAAAATAATCAAATTCCAAGTAATTTCTTCAGTTTTTTCAAATGACTTTAAATTCTTGGTAAGAACCCTGGAAATTTAAATAGATGTTGTCATGTCCTTAAGTTTGACTTTTTAGGTTCTTTTGAATTTTGAAGAATGACAGACCACTTTTTCTGCACATTCATTTTATGTTGTGTATTTCTATAAGTTAATGTAACATTATTACAAGGACAAAACACCAACAGTGTCTGAAGAACTTGATAAAACTTGAAATATATTGATAATTTTCCAATGACTGCTACATGAACATCTACAAAGTTAGCTGCTACTAGTAAGGAACACCATCACTGGGACAAATATGATATTTTTCAGCACATTGCCAATCACTAGAATATTTAAAAAGGAACAAAAATCAGATGTTTATTTCTTCTGTAAAGTACTGTAAAATCACCAATATTTAGTACAATGTAATTAAAGCAATGCAGTTCTCAAGCAACTTTTCTTTACAGTATTAAAACACACACAGAGTAGGCCATACTACAGAGCACAGTCTTTTTATACGTCTTTAACTCTTTCCGGAGGTGGTCTGTAAATGTTACCATGTCACAACAATCTTTATATCTTTAGTTTATATTCTACCTGAGGTCACCAGCTTTAGTTATATGAAGAAAAAAAGCTTATTGGTCTCAAGATTTGGAACACAGCTCTTGAATCACAACAAATAAAGGTATTTGTGTCACTGTTGCCATGGAGTGAACAACTACCCCAAATCTGTTGGTTAGATCTCTGCAACAAAGAACCATTTCTTACTCACTAAAGCAATTTCACTGTATTTACATGAGGACTCAGTTTTGCTGTATTTACATGACCGTGGTCTGACCTCAGTAAAATGACCACCAGGTGTCGCCCTGCACCAGCAGGTATGCTCGGAGTGTCGCAGAACAATACACGCACGGCAGAGATTCAAACCTGCTCAAATAACCGTGCCAAAATAAAAATATGAACATTCAGACGTTTTCTCGGTTGTAAAACACAAATAGGAAGTGTTCCTTCTTTCCACGTGGTTAATATCGTTTACAAGCTGCGACTGCATAATTGGCACAGTTCATTGTCCACGTAGGCCTATCTGTGTTTGGATCTCCATCCTTTCAGCCAGTAGGCCCAGATACCCCGCCCATCGGGATTCTGAGGCCATATGTAAATATTAAGCAGCCTGTCACTGACCTAATTACATTTTCTCCAAATATAGTCTAAATATAATAAAAGTATAAACAGATTTATTTTAATATATCCTTACAATGGCCAAACAGTGCAGATATTAATGTAGGCCTGCAGCACATGCAAACATTAAAGCATTTATTTCTGCATTAGGTTAACATTTGTCGATACAGTAAAAGCCAATAGAGATCTGATGTCCTGCAGAGATGTACCCATGGGACAGTCATGTATGGGATTAGATAAACACAGTGGTGTAGTCTAGTTTATTGTGGCGGGCATACTGTGATTACCCAGGGGTGGCTGGGCCATGGCCACACTGATAAAATGGCCTCCTTTGTGCACATAATTGGAAGTCTCTGTGTGGTGGTTTTAAATTTGAGTTGGTTTACTCCCGGTCCTCACAGTCAATGCACTCCTTCAAATTAAAGCTGTAAATTTGTCTTTTGAAGAAAAAGGACAGTCAGCCTATTTGGAGAACAATGAACTGCCGAACTCATGTTTACACAGATACATAACACATTAAGCAGGACTGCTGTGGAACTCAAAATGTTAACTGTCTGTGCCAGTGATACTCAATGTGGCCTGGGGGCTGTGGCGCCAGGAGGCCCACCGATTATTTCCCAATTCCCAATGAAAATGAATTGATTCACTTTTTTGTTGTTGTTGTTGTTGTACTTTGAATGTAGATAGGTGTATAAAGAAGCATCAGAATAGAGCTTGTTTATTTAAAAAGAAAAAGTGCCAGGGAAGGATCTTTAGGATCCCCGACAGAGGCCTGGGCTAAGTATTTGTTTATTAATTAATAATGTTTATTACCTATACTGCCATTTGGCAAAAGTGGCCCCGGGCAAAGCAGGTTGAGAATCTCTGGTCTCAGATAATTTGTGACACCACACACAAACAGCAAACAAACAGTCTGACAGAATGGCAGGATACAACATACACAACAATGTCGCAATCGAGATGCCAGAACTCTGTCAGCCTCACCTAATTCTATCGTCCTACTCTTGTCCACTAAATCTATATTTGATTAGTCTCCTACCACCTCCCTGATTCCTTGTGAATACAGTGTTACGCTTCTGCATGTGGTTGCTATACCTTTTCGTAAAGCCCCGACCTCCCCTGGGCACAGTGGCGGTACGTGACCATTAATGTCCCGATCATGGCAAAATAAGATGAAAATAAGAAAATACAAGCAGAGGGCAGAGTCTCGTCAGAAAAATACACCACCACAAACGTCTAGTGGGTCATAAGTGATGATTTAGAGGGATTACTTTTGTATGATTTTAGACTACTGACACAGTTTTCAACCAGCCTTAATAGGCTACGACAACAGCATTTAGAATTCCTGAAATTCAGTTAGGGGAGAGCGGGGCACAACCTAACGCAGGGTGAACTGTAACACAGACTTTCTGAGTGGTTAAACAGGGTCGATCCTTTCGTGCTTCCGGCCAGTTGCCCACCATACTGCCAAACAGTGACCTGCGAAATTCCACAGGGATTGGATGTGTTTCAGCTGTGTTCAGTAACAACGAGTGTTTTCAGATGATTTAAGTGAACATCTTTGCCAAATTGTTTTCTGATTTCTGATCTGTCTGTGTAAGTCACTGACTCCAACCATATATCATCTTAACAACTGTCTTGTTGCCAAAAACATAGCATTGTTTTGAACTATGTAACCAACTCCCAGCAGGTGTTAGCTAGGCTTGATGAAATGTCCACACAGCAGGGTTAGTTATAATGCGGTGTAATGCCCTCAGTTAAATGAGATATACTTTGTATTTTTAATTTGTCAGGTATCTTATTGACACACAATATTGCAGTCTTGTCAATAATACTCATATTTTGACATGTGGATCTAGGTTACCCACTCTGTGTACATGTATCAATCCAACTTTGAATATCCATGACTAATAGATGGAAGGATACCTGTACGGATACCTATCCTTCCCCTGATGGAGATGGAGAGATTTAACCAGGAAGTGCCAAGCCCTGGCCAAGGTAGCAGCCAATCAAAACACATTTAAAATGCAACAAATAGAACATATGACACAAAAATCCACAATAAAACAACAACTATTCAAACATAGTGGATATAAGTCTTTCTAATTTTAGATCATTTTGAAGATTGTTTCATGTCCATGGTGCAAAAGCAACGTCCAACCCACCATATCATAAAGAATGCAGTGATGAGTAAGTGACTTTGCATTTGCAATAAAAACATAAAGGTCTATCCATCAATCTATCACGGATGAAAAGAGAGAAAAATATATCATATCCACACATACTGTGTGTCTGTCTATGTGTTGATCTTTCCGTTCATGAAGCATTGGTGGTTAGATGAGGGATTTACAGATGCTTGGATATCTATCCATAAACAGTATCAACCTATCATGTATAGATAGAATTGTATTGATCTAATTGTGTTAAACAGACGTTTTCCAGCCTGTTACAATGTAGGCCTATACGTTGTGACACTTCACTTCTGCTACGTCTCGGTTCTACTGTTATTATAATTATATTATTATTAAAATGAATGTTATTGTAGCTACTGTCATTGCTGCTTGCCCTGGTTCTCTCTCTGTCTTTCTTATTGTATCATTTTGCCGTATGGATCACTGTAAATCTATCATGTTGATCTGCTCTGTACACACCACACTACTGCATGTCTGTCCGTCCTGGAAGAGGGATCCGTCCTCAGTTGCTCTTCCTGAGGTTTTTCATTTTTTCCCTGATAGAGTATTATTGTGGAGTTTGTTCTTGTCCGCTGTGAGGGTCCAAGGACAGAGGGATGTCGTATGCTGAAAAGCCCTCTGAGGCAAATTGTGATTTGTGATATTGAGCTTTATAAATTAAATTGAAATTGAATTAATGGTAGAAAAAAGGTAAGCAATGATATACTAATTAATCTCAAACAGTTTTAATAACATTTAGCTTGTAGGCTTTGGAGTAGCACCCCAAGGTTTTCAGTGGCCCCATCTGGCCACCCCTATGAAAAATTGTGGGGGCGCCTCTGCTGGTTTTGCCTCCAGAGCCGAGGTAACACTACCCAGCTTCACATTCCCCAGCAGCTGAGAACCAACACACAGGGACTCTGCTTATGTCTTAAGGAGCTGCGGTGTTTATTCATGGACAAACTGAAGCCTGCGCTGTACATTTACACGGAAAATCCTGGAGCTTTCTTCGTGGATAAACCGCACACCACACCACTGCGCACGCACCCTGATGGCCACACAACAAAACTGCTCATCTAAACCAGAGGGCATCTCATCCCCAGAGCATCAGGACGCGTTTAACCACAAGAGAGGAATAAATAATCATCTGGCACATTTTTCCCTGTGTCGCAGTCGATCCCAGAGCAGCTGCATGTTATGTTAAAGTGTCAGGGCTGAAATAGCTCCGGGCAGCCGCCGGATCGACTGTTTCATTTGCGCAGCTGCATATCCCACTTTTGTAAAACTGACCGGGGCTGCAGCATCAACACTAAAGTACCAGCTGCTTTTACCGCATCCTCTGGCACTCTCCTCCGGCTGCTGCTGCGTGTTACTGCGCCCCGGTGCAAAGGAGCATCGAGGAGACAAAGAGAGGAGACAACGCAATGATTGCAGAGGGGTTTTAATCGTGGAGACAAGGAACAGAGGACCGTGGGGAAACGGGCTTGTTGTTAAGGCTACAGCGGTGTTCAGAGCTGCGCAGTGGTAGTGGAGGTTGGTCATGGTCGGACGGGGACTGTGGGTATGTAAACCCCGGTTTGGAAAGCGAGGTAGCAGGCTTGGTGCTTTGCCGTATCTGTGCGTGGCGGTAGCGAGCGCAGCCCTGCTGGCTCTGCTCTTCGTGGACTTCATCGAGTTATGGGTCACCTCTATGGGCATGAACACGGTGGTGGAGCCGCACGCAGGCATCATCCCCCCGCAGAGCGTCCCCCCCACCAGACCCGAGGAGTTCCTGCTCATGCCCAGCCCGCTCGTGTGCCAGCGTGCCAAGCCCTACCTCATCACCATGGTTACCTCGGCTCCTGCCAACCAGAGGGCCCGTCAAGCCATCAGGGACACCTGGGGAGGGGAGGTGGAGGTGAGGGGCCTGCGGGTCATGACCCTCTTCATGGTGGGTGTGGCCTCTGACCCCGGACTGGCCAAGCTGCTGATAGAGGAGGCCAGGGAGCGAGGTGACCTGATTCAGGGGCGTTTCCTGGACACCTACTCCAACCTCACCCTGAAAACGCTGTCCATGCTGGGCTGGGCCCGCCGGTTCTGCCCTCAGGCTCACTTCATGGCCAAAGTGGACGATGATGTCCTGTTCAACCCCAGCGCCCTTCTGCACTTCCTGAACAAGAGCCGTAACCCCTACGAACAAGGAGACCTGTACCTTGGCAGGGTGCATCTCCATGTGGCTCCGGACCGTGACCCGGAGAGCAAGCACTACCTCCCCTCAGGGGCCTATCCGCCTTCTGTCTTTCCAGACTATTGCAGTGGTACAGCTTATGTTCTGTCCCGCTCTGCATTGCTCAAGATTTCCCTGGCAGCCTCTGCATCACCTTTATCCACCCCGCTGCCCCCTGAGGATGTGTTTGTCGGTCTGTGTGCCCGGACAGCTGGAGTGCTGCCCTCGCACTGCCCGCTCTTCTCTGGAGGCCCAGCTGTGCCGTACGGACGCTGCTGCTACCAGGCCATGGTGTCCATCCACCAGATCCCACCTAGGGAGATGCTGCACTACTGGGCTGATGTCCACACATCACAGCCCTGCTCCTGGCTGGGTCTACGTGCTTCTCTGGGGCTCTGCAAAGTCCGGGCGATGCTGGGGTCAGCTCTGGGGCTGGAGCAAGGGTTGTGAGGGTCAATAAGAAGGAAGACTGGACTCACTGGGGCTGTGCCTCACTTCAATACTGTGAACAGCACAAGTGCTCTTCAGGCTGTGAAATGTCACCTTATTTTTATAGCTGTATTTTTTTAAACCCTATGATGTAATTAACTGGCTTTTTTTTTTGCAGAAAAGAGGATGATCAGCTGGTTGTATGAAGAATTGTCACAGTAGTATTTAAGCTATCTTTAGACTTACAACACCCTTCATTAGTACACTGACACATATTGTAGACGTAGAACAGGCAACACTGGCATGCTGATAGTACACAGTAAGGAAATACAGCTGCTTATGTGATGAATGCACATTGGAACAAGTATTTCTATCAACAAAGTCTGACATCTATAGGCTGCTACCCTCACATATAGATATATATATAACACCTTACTATTACCAGGTACTTCAAGTGTAGATGTTAGTCTATTAAGATGCCTAAATGCATGATGCTCCAAACAATTGTACAATAGATATCAAACCACAGGCTTCAAATACCAAGTAGGAAGGAAATAATACGAATATTTGCTAAAACCTTTATGTTAAAACAGAAAAATAATCATCTCAGTACATGAATATAAATATTCTGTTTTTCAGTAGTAGTAATAATGACATGATGATATGTGCATCCTAGCATTAACTTGACAGCTGAAACTGGAGACAGTAAGATGTGTTCAGTTTTGTGAACAGACAGCAGAGGAGTTTAATCGTTTGTCTTTGGAGGCTCTGCTGCCTCGCATCAGCTGCGATCGGAAATATAACCACGAGACTGACGTGACACACAGCTATTATCCCACTGAACTGTAGTATTTATTACCTTTCTCTGTAATAGAGAGATTAGACATTTAAGTAGAGCGTTAATGACAGCTTTGCGGCGGTGTGTTTGGTCTGAGTATATTTTAAAAGACAGTTTACAATGTGTCAGGATGAAGCCTCAGGCTGTCTTACCCCGCCCACAATGTAAACAAAGAGAAAGATGGTGTGTTTGCACTCAGGAAACATGTGTTTGAATGGAATACTGTCACCAATAAACCGCTGTGTATCTTATGCTATGCTCGCTTGATGTCTTTTTTAGAGGAGCGCACGCACAAACGGGTCTGCTTTGTCTCAACATTTGTGTCACATTGGATTTTCCTTTTCTCCATCACAGCTGAAATGAGGTTAAAGGAATACATCACCCACAAAATGACCATTTGTGTATCAGCTAGTCATGCTGTTCCGTTGAATTTGTGAAGAAAACTGTTTTTCTCGCATGCCTCTTTGGCACAGTGAACATATAGATTTTTGATTTATTGGGGGCCACATTTAAAAATAGTAAATCTAAATCAAAGCATCTGTTTACAAGCGCTGTCAGAACGCATGCAGTACAATTCAAGTCTCATTTATCCAGTTGTATGCTCAGTAGCTACCTCCCGAAACAAACACGTATATATTTTTTTTTTCAAACTCTTAATATTTAAAACACTTCCAGATTAGAGTAGGATGCCAGGGCAAGTGTGTGCATTTGAACTCTGTGCATCTCATTGAGCAGAATTCAAATGCACGTGCTTGCCTAAGTGCACGACTCATCCATGCCTTGGACTGTTTTGGTGCAAGTGTTTTAAATAGAATACTTTTAGTGAAAATGCACGTGTTTTGGAAGTACTGAGCATACGACTGGATAAATGAGACTTGGATTATACTGCGCAAGTTGTGTCAGAGTTTGTAAACAGATGTTCTTATATAGTTTTACTGTTGTTAATGTTGTGCCTCCACTGTGACAAGTGTATTTAGGACCCAAATACAGCCCACTGGAAGTCAGCAATAGTTGGTAATGACCTTAATATAACACAGGGAAAACAGGAACTTGGGCAGATGAAGAGACACAGGTAACAGACTGTTCTTCAGGCTGGAAGCCCATTCACAGTCTCTGGGGTTTATGCTCGAGGGTCAAACTGGGCTGAACCTGGAAGGAGCAGGTAGGGGATGTGGTCGACAGGGCAGAGGATTCTGAACCTAGACGAGCAGGCGGATGAAGCAGAGGGACCGACGAGGGACAAGCAGGAGGGAGACCAGGGCCAGGCGGAGGATTCAGGCATCCACGGGGAACAAAGAATCCAAAAAAGGCGACCATTCTTGATGCATTGAAGTCACTGGGGACCACATTCGACAACCTGTATCAATCGTTCCATTTACAAACTCTCAGACAACTCCTGCAGTATAATCCAAGTCTCAAATATCTAGTCTAATGCTCAGCACTTCCCCAACACGTACACATTTGCTGAAACCTTACAATTATATACTGAACATGAAACTTATCAATGCTCTCCTCAAAGCCAGATTTCGATTTTAGCGAAAATGCATGAGTTTGGGAAGTGCTGAGTACAAGACTGGATAAATGAGACTTGGATTTTACTGCACAAGCTGTGTGAGCGTTTGTATACAGATGATTTTATGTAGCTTAGCTGTTGCTAAGCGGGGTCCCCGGTCAGTCTTCCATGGAGGCATGTAAGACAAACAAAGTTTTCCTCATGAATTCAAAGTAACACAGCTGACTAACTCATTTACAAATGGTCATTTTGTGGATGAATTGCTCCTTTAACAAAAGTTAGTAAGTAAAATGTATTTATTCAGCACTTTTCACAGACATAGATCACAAAGTGCTTTACAAGGGCGATTTACAACACACAAGAAATAAAAGAGATGAAGTGACTACCTGAGCCATGTAGTTGAAAGTGCAAAACTATCTGCACAACACTTAAGGAAAGAATCAAAATATACAAAATGTACTGACTACATAGCGAGTGCATACAAGTTACCCATATGCCTGTCTAAACAGGTTTGACTTAAACTGACTTTGAAGAGAAATCACAGTCAGCAGACTGTAAGGCTGCAGGCAGAGCGTTCCAAAACGTAGGTTCTATGTTCTCAAAAGCTCGATCACTGTGGGTCTTAAAGAGGGTACGAGGGACAGACAGCAAATCTAGTGTATCTGACCTAAAAGAGCGAACAGAAGGATACAGATGAAATAGTTCAGCCACTTAAGCAGGAGCCTCACTGTGTAATACTATGTAAGTAACAATGAGAATTCTGAACTGGATCTTATATGTGACAGGAAGCCAGTGAAGAGATCCAAGACTGGGGGTAATCTGAGACCATCTATTTGATTTAGTAAGCAGTCTTGCAGCAACATTCTGGATTGCTTGCAGACGATCGAGAGCGGACATACTAAGTGAGGAGGGAAGTGCATTACAGTAGTCAATGCGAGATGAGATGAAGGCATGTAGAGCATCTCTGGTTCAGCAGTGCAAACTACAGATCTCAGTTTATCAATATTTCATCACTAGCAAGGACCGCACCACAACAATATGTTGTTTCAATGCTGAACTGTAAATCAAGAGGTGATGTCTTCTGTTAGGAGACTCAGTGTGGGGATTCTGTCTCAGGCGGTTTTTCCGCCCAAGCTGACTACAGGCCCCCCAGACAGTATCTTGAATGAGACGTAGGAGAGGTATGTACCAGACTGAATAAGAAGAGGTGAGGGGAGAAGGGAAGAGAGGATGAGGGATTGTTGGTAGGTATGAGGTAGAGAGGATGATGGACAATACTGGTGTCATTTGTAATATGAAAAATTCATGTCATGATACTCATGATATTTTGACTTGTTGCCATACTGATGTCATACTGTTACCCACAGCAACAACAAGCATGGCTGAAAGCGAAAGTATTGCCAAAAAGAGGAGCAGCTTCAGCAGTGTGGAATAAACTGTGGTGTCCTGAATGTTTTATGAACCGCCCCGGACTTCTCAGACTCTTTTAGAAAGGTACGGCTCAGAGGGAACTCATTCAGTGGCTCCTCTGGCAGCAGCACAGTGTCTCTCCCTCTCCTCTCTCGCCATGCACACACATGGGAGTTGGTGTCGTCAAAGCATTTTGTCATAAACCTTGGTAACCTTGGTAATGTAAACCTACGTGACGCTTGCGGCTCAATATTTGAAGGTAAACTGTTCGGTTGACATGTAAAACTATATCACTTATTTTGCTGCAATTATATTTTCTTAAATTAACTTTTTTTTTTTCCTTTCTACTAATTTGTTATATCATCAAGAATATCGTTATCGATAGGGCAAAAATACCCTGAAATATTGTGATATTATTTTAGAGCCATATCGGTAAGTTACATACTCTGTAGTCCAACACAACACTATACCCCCTCACTTGTGTTTCCAGCATTGTCTCCCTGCAACAGTTCACGTCTCAAGAGACATCTCCTTGAGCAACACTTGGACACAATAAGTAAACAGTAAAGAGATACTTCAGACACTTACAATAATAATCTGAGTCTGGCAGTGGCAAAAATAACCACTTTTCAGTGACGTTGCACAGTTGCCTCATCTGGTAACATTGCGCTCATTGTGCAGCTGCTGGCTGAAGCCGTCTCTCAACACTGGAGCAGTTTAAGAAATTGCTGTTCATACACTTAGACACAAAGACATGAGACAATATGGTCCAGGATAAAAAATGCTGAAGATACCCTTTAATAGTTAATGAGGATGTGGCTGAGTCATCATCACTGCTTCATAATTATAAAGCAGCAGCAGCCAACAATGAAAAAAAGGATTAAATTACAGTGTACGCATTAAAGGAGCTGATCGGATCATATTTCATTGGTGTTGTACTTTGTGTAACCATAAGTACTGGACACATTATATTTTTGGGTTGATTACTTAAGATACCTTGTTATTCATTAATGGGTACATTATTTAAATTTAAGTAGTAATAGATTCAGCATTATTGAGTTACTGGTAAATTATTATTTCATTGTCATTTATAGTACTTTGTTTATTGGTGTATGAGTGGAGTTATGAGCTAACTGGTTCCTTCCTGTCCTTGTTTTGTGGGGACAGGTATGAGTGAGACACAAGAGAGAACGAGCGTGCTGGGATGTGTCAGCACTGTCTTGCCGTGTAATAAATTAAACGAAGAGGAAGAAACAAATGTTGTAGCCCGCTTATTACCCACAGCCCGAAAGAACTGGGGAACACCAACAATCAAGAAAAGAGGGTTACATTTGTATAGTTCCACGTGATTGAACTGATTGAATTAATTTGGTTCGCCTGAACTTATCATTGCTACCAGTGACTGCACATCAGGCACAGACGCCTGCCAAACAGATGCCAAATATTTGAAAGAACAGACAGTCAGTTAATGACTAATGCTGCAATCATGTGCTACTCAGATGGTCCTGTTTCCTGGGTTGAGAAGTCGTCCATACAGATTTGGTATGTTAATGAGCTTTACGGTCGCAATGTGGAAACAGTAGGGATGCTACAAAGATGTGTTGCATTTTATTGCTCAGAGCAGTGAAGATTTATGTTGCTGCATCAGTGCTCACGAAAACCAGCAAAATATTGCTTTCCCTGACTTGTCGTCTGTGTTAAAGCTAGTAAATAACTTTTCTAACTGATCTCGGTCACTATGTGGACAGCAACTAACAGTTACAACCTCATACCATATCACAAATGACATTTATCCCTCCATTTTCATCTGCTTATCCGGGGCCGGGTTGTGGGGGCAGCAGGTCAAGCAAAGCACCCCAGATGTCCCTCTCCACAGCAATGCTTTCCAGCTCCTCCTGGGGGACCCCAGGGCGTTCCTAGGCCAGATGAGATATGTAATTCCTCCAGCATGTTCTGGGTCTGCCCCGGGGCCTCCTACCAGTGAGAGGCAGAGGAAAGATTCATATGTAATAAGTGAAGTTTCTTAACATCAACCAAACATTTACTTTCACCTGCCATAATATAATGCATAATATGATGCCAACTTTGTAAGTCACGTACCAAGGTTTTTGCAGACTGAGGTTTTGTTGTTGTTTTCCCAACTTGAGGGGGCGTTCACAGGAATTTAACCAGTTGGGAACTCATTTCTCAGATTATTTAGACATAAGGTTGCACCAGTATACCCATTCTAAGGTAAACAGTGATATGAAACCTGAGCATGTATTTGCTTATCTAAAGCTACTCTTACCTTTCTTGCATTTCACACAGCAAAATTTGAACATCTACAAC